GTTAAAAGCACCCGCAACTTTTTTTGTGTACCGGTGCCATTATTCCGTGAGTTGCAGGTCCAAATAACGGCACTTTCCGAACGAAAAATTACTCTGAAAATGGACAACGCCGAAACCGGTTTTTCTCCAAACCAAATTTGACAAGGGATGATGGGAAATCGTTCCACATTACCTACCCGGTCGGAAACACCAACGAAAATGAGAATAACGGCACATGCAGTAATTAATTGATAGCAAAATATTTTTTAATAAAAAAATTGTTATAATTGTCAATGGCATTTTCAATCTTGATAATTTATCAAGAGAATAGATTTAAACTTCTGTGCTAGAACTGTGAGTTCTTGATAAATTATCAAAAATTGACAAATTATAAAAATATTGAATTTATTAAATCACAGAAACTGGATGTAAGTATACACACATTTGTTAAGAAATATAGCAGTTTTATTCAGTATATTTTTTTTTCTCAGTGAAGAAGTGAATATTTTTGTAGTGAAGATTTGGTAACTTTTGGTAACTTGGTAACTGGTAGAAAAAAATGTTGGCGAGTGGCAACCATGATCGCAACAAATAATTCAAAAATGCCGCCTTTTATTTTGTTTATTCACGAACATATGTTTGCGGCCAGCTAATTTTCTTACTTGCAAGTAAATGTTCGTAGCTTAATTCATAGAAAAAACTCAAAAATTTTGTTTCTTTTCTTAAATGACTTGAAACTGTGGACTTAAGAATGCGAAGTAGTGATTTTGTGGCATCAACTTCATGATAACCATAACATTTCGCATTATTAAGTAGGTTATTACATAACCTTGGTTAGGTTGTGGTGGTTGCTTTCATCCAAGTCCTGGGTAAACACTTACTCGGGTCTAAGGAGACCCGCTGCGATACCGTTTAATTGGTTCTGTGTTGATTCCGGCTACTTACCTAGAAATATAATCAGTTAATTAGTATGAAAACGCGTTCTAGTACGTCGAGCTCAGAAAGTCGGGAAAAAGTATCGGTGGAGATATCGACGCCTAAGTGTAGCCAGTCCTGAACAATGGCAAACGCAGTGTTCGATGCTCTCGATTTCTTCATCGTCACAACAGCGTCCAAGTAGTTATTGAAATATACTGCAATGGTCTGGCAGTCGGAATCTCAGTTTTAGACACTATGGCTTGGACTATCCGTATATTCGGATATCCCTTCAACTCATTGCTGTTAATATCAGATTTTCTAATCAGATAATCGAATACCCGGATATTAAAACAATCAGATTACAACTCCCAGCCCTAATTATACTCTTTGCTTCAATTTTGACCCGTCGGTACATATTTACGGTATAGTGCAAGTAATTTTCAGAACCGAAACTTTTTTCCATTCCGCTCCTCGGTAGAATTCTTGTGGTGCAGCCGTTTTCAAAGACCAGACAGTGTCGGTGTTGAATAGTCCAGGTGCTCGAAATTTTCTGGGCAGGTGTCCAGAAACTTGGAGTGATCAAATTGCATGGCCTTCCAGTCATGAAAAACATTTGGCCTGATTGCATTACTGCTCGTCCGTCTGCAGCTTAACATAACTGTTAGCATTCTTAATTATCTTTGTGTAGGAATTTATGACATTATGATAACTCATTGTGAACACGCACATCACGCAGTTGAAGAGAGGGCTTTACCAAAACCATTTCATCTTATTAACCGAGTTCTCAAAAAAAGAAAAGAAATTGAGGAAGTTTATCAATTCATCGGAATGTTTTGTTTTATGTACACTCACGGCAAAAGGTATTGACGCAGAGGGTGTTTTTTTAACAATATATGTATGCAAACAATTTTATTTTACTTCTTTCCGCTAATTTTTTATAAAAATATGGTTTATAAAAATATAATTTCTAAACTTTGAGCAAAATGCAGGAGAATTGTAAAATTTTCAACTTTTTAATCAGATTTTTTTGAGTATGTAGCCCAATAAATTCTTGCAAAATGAAGTTCAAGATTTAAGTAGCTAGGACTTACCGTTGATTGTTGGCATTTTTTGCACACATTTTCTTCCACACAAAAAAAAAAATCGAAAATACTTTTTATGGAAAAAATGCGAAGGACCTTAAAAAATTCTCAAAAACCAAGGCGATTTTTTAGAAGTTTCAAACTTGCATTTTTTGTACTAATTTTATGGCAACAAAACTGCATAATTAAAAAAAAAAGTCTGATTAAAAAGTTGAAAACTTGTATGCAAATTTATTAAACTTTCCTGAATTTTACACAAAATTTAAGAATTATATTTTTATGTTTTTATTGTAGTATTACCCATATTTTTACAAAAAAAAAAACAGATATAGCGGAAAAATTAAAAATATCAATTGTTGCATATACATACATCTTCCTCGGACTAAAACTAGTAAAACTGTCAAAAAATAAAAAATTCGCTTAGAGCGAGAGAGTAACATTGAAAAGTACGGGATCGCTTTCTAGTAAAAGATAGTAACTTCTGTCAATTTCAACATAACCTCCAAATTTTGGTTGTAAATTTTTGCTTATTTTGTATGTAAACACACTCAGCTCACACATGTAAATAACCAAAAATACTTTCAAATTTATTAGAATCCACTTAAACATGTAATTAAATACTTTTCAATACGAATTAGCAGAGTGCACTTCTCTTTTGTTTACAATTTGGTTGCCAAACACACTACAGCTGATCGTTTGATACATTTACCAGAATTTACCAGCAAAAAATCTTGACTAAAACTGGTAACTTCTTACAGAGAGAGGACCTTATTTGCTCTCTTTTTTGTCCTCTCAATAGTCAGAGAACCGGGATCGATTTCCAGTAAAATCTGACAAATTCTGACTATTCCGGACTCGTACGGGACCGCAACTATAGTATGCAAGAATGATAGAATACAAGATTGCGCCTATCAGAGAAGATTTTTGAGAATAATTTTTGTGAGACGTCACACTGGTGCAACTGCGAGAGAGAAATGCCAAAACGAGAGCAAGAATGGAAGAAGAAGACGAAATATTGCAAGAAAAACGTAAACAAGCTGCACAAGTGTGACGTCATACAAACAGCGATCCGACCGAGATGGGATTTTCGGGATTTGTAATTTGCACTGATGGCAATAATAGAAACTCCTTTTCTTGACCAGTATTGGCTATATTTCTTTTTTTATTTAATAATTAATAATTTTTAAAAATGTCTAGCATTATACACTGCCTTCAAAAGAGTCACAAGTCAAAATAATACGTTCATCAGAAAATGCGAAAAACTAAAAAAGCATGTGCTAAATCATATGGGCAAGGGCGACTTTACCTTAGGTTTTTTTAACAAATTATAACAAACATTTGCTTCAAAGTCTGACGTCAGTAATTCTAAAATGATAAAAAAATTCAGAGAAATGTGCTTAGAGAAAAAGTATGGGCATCAAATTAAAGAGGAAATCCTGTAGAATTTAAACAGATTCAAGTTTTTGGTGCAGAAGGACTAGTAAGTATTGAAAATGTACTTTTAAAATTTTATCCTTGAAATTTCGAATTATTTATTTTTGGAAAATTATTATGGGTTAAGGACTTATATAAACTCGATAACATACTCGAATTTCGTCCTTTTAGCTTTATGAGCTTAAAAAAATACCTGTTCGTCCTTGTGAATCCAAAAAATGTTAATGTTTTTTTAATTCTAAAGAAATTTCCTCTTGCATTTGGTACCCATATTTTTATTCTACATTGCATTTAATTTTTTAAATAATTTTTGGAATTAATCATATCTTTGAAATTACAAAGTCCTCTAAAATAAATCCTGACGTCAGAGAGAAAAAATAAAAACGCCATTTTAAACAAGAAAGTAGGTTTAAACCCATTTATTTACTATTATTTATTTTATGGTGGTAGAGCTAAAAAAAACGTGGAAGCAATTTTTTTGATTTATGTTGTTGAAAAGTAATGAGTATCTAAATCCCGGAACTAATCCCGGGGCCTCGGGATCGTGGTAACGACATCGCGAAAATCCCATGATCGGAAAAAGCTGAAAAATTAACATCCCTAGCACATAGTGCATACATATGTATGTATGTATTATGAAAAATTCTTTATGCCTAAACTGTTTGCCTTGAGTAAACCGTTTTCGGTAATTCTTTTTTATCGGAAAGGGTGGTTTCATACTAGAGATCGGCACGGGCCTAAATTTTCAGGCCCGGCCCGGCACGAGTGCAAAGTCATCTTTCGAAAACACACACGAGCCCGCACGTTAAGAATTTTAATGGAGCCCGGCCCGGCACGACGGGACACGCCCCAGCCCGGAAATAAAGAGCCAACTTTTATTGTATGTATACATATACTACATATGTATGTACATGTTTTTAATTTTATGTTTATGTACATATGTACATATGTATATTTACTTAAGCGAATCACTTTTTTACATCAAAGATATTTATAATATATTTGCTGGGAAGTAGAAAAAGTGGAAGGTATTTTATGTACAGATATGTAAACAAAACTACTAAGCGAGTTCGTGGTGACAGCAAATATTCCGGCCCGTACCCGCCCGACGGGCCCCTGCGTAAGCCCGGCCCGTGCCCATCTCTATTTCATACTAATTTGATTCCTATCATTGGATCACGAAGAAATTAACGCTACTCTGAAATTTGTACATGAATATTAAAGTTGGTTGTCTTTTTTTTTAGAAATTACTTGTCTTTTATTTCATTTGTCCTGAAGATGTTCGCGATTTTCCACATTTTCTTCGCCAATTAGGCACGCCAAAAGAATTTATATACGTCACTTTATTTATATAGAACCTTACACGAACCTTGTAGCATCTACGCAATTGTGTGCGATTTTCATTGTGAAATGACTTATAACAATCACCTTGCAATTTTCTTTTTCCAAGAAAAGTAGTAATAGATTTTTTATTTACCAAAAGTCAAAGAAATTCGTTTTAATTTTTATAAAAAAAACATTGTACAATTGAATCTGAAGGAAAGGTCTTCAATGAACCCATTTTCTATTATAATTTTGTATTTGCAGATTTATTCAAATAAGATCTTCTAAAGTTATAAATTAAATAAAGGAAACTAGCCATAAAACCTTAGGTATATTGGTACACGTTTTAACGAATTTCCACAAACAAGGCGAAATTCCATTGACAACAAAATATCAAAATTTATTGAAAAAAAACAAGTGTTTGTTGTAAAAAACACATGTAACTCATGCAACAATGTCCGAGGAAAGTAATACAGTGAATTGTAATGATGTTACGTCCACAACCACTATGGTTACCACTGCGACCGCGGATGCGGCGCCCACTAAAAGCGCAATGTGCGATGATGCCCCAAACATAGAGACTGTCAATGTTGAAGATTTAGAAGACGGCGAGATCGACGATGATGATGAGGATGATGATGTTGTTGTAACAAGTGCCACAACAGGCAGTGCAAATAAGACGAGTGCCAATGCAACGGCGGCAACAGCCGCTAATGATAGCAATGCGACGCCTGCATCTACACCACACAAATCATTAACGGCACATCATAGCGTCGACTTGACGACGACCAAAATACCTATAATTGATTTATCGCATGATCACACACCATCACCCACAAGTTTGACAGGCGGCGGCGGCGGCGGCAGCGGCAGCAAGGCGGACGCACCCGCCAAGTCACGCAGATCCAAAAAGGGTCAACCACCACCAGGTACTGAACTGCATACTTTAATGGCAGGGGGTTGCAAGTTGCGACAAAATTAATGTGGGTATTCACACTTTCGTAGTTTTTAGGTTATCTAGAAATTGAATAAAAATAAAATTAAAAAGCAATGAATTAACCTAAAAACTCCGAAGGCGTGAATACCCACAATAAAGTAAAAGTATATATTTTTACAATTAATTTTATAGTTGAATGGTTTTAGTTATTTAATTTATTTATTTTTTATTTGTTTCTAAAACACAGACGATTATATGGAGGAGGTTGAAAAATTATTATCAAACGTCTTGAAAAAGTCTGGCGTCCAGCCACAAATGCCCAAATGTTTAGAAGCACGTCAACAGGAATCTACAGAACCCGAACCGCCTGTCCCTGGTCATGGACAGAGTCGTAGTAGTAGACGGCGTAAACGCAAAAAGCAACGTGACGAAAAGGAGAAAGAGAAAGAGAAGGAAAAAGAGCGCAAAGAGAAGGTACGAATTTTACTTTTTTATGAGCAGCAGTGCTTAATAATTAAGCATACTGGATACAGGTCTTAATAAAATTTAAAATTTCAAAACAGTAATTTCTCAATTCATCGCCATCCTGAAATATTAAAAAAATAACAATTACAAAAAAATTTTTCATAATCTGAATTGTTTAAATTAATTTCAATTGGTAATAACTCTTTTATTTGTTTTTATTTAACGATAAAAATGTAGCTCTAAATTTTATAAGGATTTTTAACGTCGCAGTTGTAGGAAAACCTTTTTTTTTTAATAAGGAAAAGAGTAATTAAAGTTCATAATCTAAATTGTGAAGAGATCATTAAATTCTTACACCGAAATTCATAAAAAATAGAGAAGATTTTAACTAAATACCTTACAAATCGAAAATTTCACTTTCTAAAGCTCTTTAAGCCTATTATATTTTTTATGAATAAGGTCATTAATATATTTTGTTTATAATTTCAATGATGGAGACTGACTCAAAATTTAAAATTTGCAAATGTTTGGCAAAAAGATTCTTGTATCGACATTGTAAAATTTTTATATTTTAAACAATTTTTTACTTTTATTGGATTCACAAGACGTGTTTAACGTCATTTTCTCTTAAAATTGTTAACCTTTTAATGTGAAATATCGGTTTAAATGCTGTTAAGGGGAGCCCTGCTAGTTAGTCCCCTAAAAACCATTTAACCGTTATTTTGCATTGAAAAATTTTAAGACTTCAATATATTGCGACGTTTAACATGTCTTGTGAATCTTCTTATTTTATCTACATAATTTTAGTTTAATTTAGTTTAGTTTATTAAACATACATAAATATACGCCAATCGGCATTGTACATCTAAAGTTATTTACTGAAAGACTTATTAGGAGAGTAGAGATATCAATTTACAAAAATTTCAATATTCCTTTATTTCTTAATTGCCTGTGCCAGCAGTGCTCTTTTGCGCCATGAACGAAGAAAGGGTTCCTCCAAAGATCTAAAGGCTTGTAATTCTGTTATGAGGTCCATGCAAGAGATTATTGTTATTTGATATCTCCACAGCTAGAATTCGCCTCGAACTGAGATCGGTCCTAGAGTACTCGAAGCCAAAGGAACTGAGGATTTCCGGAGCAGTTTCTTTAAAATTTAATGACTAAACTCAAAATAATATTCCAACAAGTCATTTTTAAGCGAAAAACAAAACCGACTTCAATTCTCATATAAAAATTTAAGATTATCGTTAATCTCTTCATGGTCCTATGATCGGATTTAAACCAAATTATTATGGAACCACCTGTGATGTAACACCTTTCCTTAAAAAAAACCGAGTTATCGAAATCGGTTAACGTGGTCCAAAGTTATGCGGTAACATATATATATATATCACTATCACTACATATTATAAAACAAAGTCACTTTTTCTGTCCCTATGTCCCCTTAAATGCTTAAATCTTGAAAACTAAGCAACGGATTTTGATGCGGTTTTTTTTAATAGATAGATTGGTTGAAGAGGAAGGTTTATGTCATTATAATGTGAAGAAATATATAAAGGGGGCGTGGCAATCGGACAAAATGTGGTAAAAACCCATAAATTTTTTGTTTACACAGCCATAAATCATAAAAGAATCCACCGATTAAAATGAAACTTACTTGAAGTTAAACTTTGAAATATTTACTTTCGTTCTGCATCAAAAAAAATAGTTGATTCATATCTTATTTAACCAAAATTGTTTAAACAAAAGCAGCACTTTTTCCAAAAAAAGCTGTTTGTGTGTTTGTTCGCTGTCAACCGAATGAAACATTAGAAGTTATGCGGGAATCTCACCCCACCTCATTCATGTCGAATTAGATCGTATGGTGAAAGAACTCGGTACGTATGTATGTAAGTACATATGTACGAATCTCTCGCATAATTAAATTTCGGACGTATGTATGTATGTATGTATGTATTTTCAATTCATGTCTTTATTGCCGTACTGAATTCCATTGCATTGAGGGTTTTTATACAGAAAACCCAAATTTGAAAAATTTTTAGTTGTGAGTGTTTTTTCAGCGAAATAAACCGCTCTGTTCACGTTCTATATTAATAAATCGCACATAATTAAAATACAGTTTTTGAATAGTTTTTATTGATTCGGAGCGCGCGTTAGATATTCCAAAGATAGCAGGAAATCTTCATGGTATAAAGAAAGGGGAACTGTTTTACTCCAAATGTAACGCGTGCGGGCCACGGGCAGTAATGAATAAATCAAAACTACGGGATCGATTTTAATCATTTTTTCAGTGAGTGACATAGGCCTTATATTTTATTTCCGTGCGAAGCCGGGGCGGGTTGCTAGTATATATATAAAATACCAAAAAAATATTTCGACGAGTTAATAAATTTCTCCTTTTTGTGAAGTCGGTACAAAAAATAAAAATAAAAATTATTAATCCAAATTTCAAGAAAAAATCCCTCCTTATTTGTTTTTCTAGCAAGTGTTCTAGCTCTGAACTAAAGTTGAAGTTGAGTTGATAACTAGAAAGCGTTCAGAACTTTTTTTCAGTTGCTCTCCCAGAGAGAAAAACACAACACAACCACATGGAAGGAAAGTTCTGAACTGTAACGATGTATCCGTCTTAATAACAAATAAACTTTAACATCTATTGCAAGTCTTTTAGTAAATAAATTTAAATATTCGTTATTCTCTTTTATGATACCTTAGTTTTATTTTGGCTTCTTATTTTAATTTGTCTTATTATATTTTTTTAATTTCCTTCTTATTTATTATTTATTTATTTTTTAGTTAATTTTATTTGTTTTATTTTTTTAACTATCCTAATATTACCATCGATGACTCTACCTTCAATTGAATAACAAATTGCCACATTTCCCCTCCTCCAGGAAAAACCACGCTATGCGTCACCCGAACCGTATAATACGCCCATTACACTCGACGACGATGAGGACGACTTTGAAATGCTGAACGTAGTCGGCGGCAGTCCTTCCAGTACGCCCGTGCCCAAATATGTACCGCCACTATACCCACCCTATGGCTCTGCTGAAGACTCATACACATCATACGATAGTTGTGACTCGTTAGATGGTGGTGGGGAAAGAGGTGGTGGTGGTGGTGGTGGTGCAGAAACAAAACGCCGTCGGAGACGTGGTAAAAAAGATCGCAAACGGGGACGCGATCGACGTGCGCGTAGTCGTGATGACAGTGCACGAGGTGGGGCGGGACCAGAGAAGCGTTCGCGGCGTGATTCCACGGTATGAATCTATTGCTCGTGTCTACAGAATCTCTTTATTTAATTAAATGCTACTACTTTGTACTTATGTATGCATTTTTGTAATTTTTCATTGTAGGATGACAAACATCGCCAGGAACCGCGCAAATTGGAGCTGTGCAAATTCTATCTGATGGAATGTTGTGCAAAAAAAGATAAATGTTCCTATATGCATTCAGATTTTCCATGCAAATACTACTATCTGGGCATGGAGTGTCCCACTCGAGAGACATGTAAATTCATGCACGAAGCACCATTGTCTGAACAATTGCGCAACATACTCTTGAAGCATTTGGAAACCGCACCAAAAGAGATACTCGGCAATTTTAAGCGGGTAACACGTGAAAACGCTATAGTGATGATGACCAAACGCAACGAAGAGCTTTGTAAAGAATATAAGGTGGAGAATACTTGGTCTGCGATAGTCAATTTACCAACGTCTAATAATCGTCGTGGTCAAGGTAATAATATGCTAAATGATCATCACCTGCAACAGCAACAACAACAAATACTGCAGCAACAACAGCAGCAACAGCAGCAGCAACAACCGCAGCAACAGCCACACAATAACATACCCTCGCTATTCGATATTGTTGTGAAGCCACCAGTCTCGCTACTTGGGTTCGATAAACATCGTAAATCTCGATGGACGGATTCCCCAACACATGAAGATACAACAACTGAGGCGGCAGATAATAGTATGCAATTACCTAGCCATTTGGATTTGAAAAATCTTGAGGGTATTATGAAAGTCGAGCACATAGAGAAACTTACGCGTTTGGGTATAACCAATTTGCAAGAAGTCAATCAGTTGACCATTGGCCAGTTGCAGCAGGTTGGCATCGACTTTGTGGAGATAAGCGAAGTGCAAAAGAAAGTGCAAAGCAGAATCGAAAGCAGCAGTGCTACGAATAATGAGGGCGATAATATGTAAGTAAAAAATGTTAAATAATTCGCTTACTCGCTTAGTATTATGTAGTGAACAAATAATTTATGCCGCTTAGTTTTTGTTGAAAAACAAGGTTTTATGAACATGCAAAAGTAAGCGTATAAAATATTTCGTAGTTATGTACATACATACCTTTTTGTTTAACAATTTATAACCATTTTTTGCTTAAAAAGGTTTTAATATAAATCACATAAAATAAAACATAGAAATTATTCGCCTGTTTGCACTCCTTTTGAATTTAGTAAAATTATATTTTGTATTATATTTTCTCAATATTTTTTAAATTACCTTATATTTCTTTTAGTTGTTTGTACTTTTTTAGAATACTCTTTATTTGCTTAGCTTCATTAATAATCCAATCTACTACTACTTTCTGTGTAGCTTAAAAATAATTAAAATAGTATACCTATTCATTCCAATTTAGCTATTTTCTAACTTTTGTATTGTATTTGTATTGATTTCATTTGTTTTTATTTTCCATTTCACGTAAATTTACTATTTGCCGTGTAACTGTAGTCCTGTTGCAACACGCGATGTTGATATGCGTTCTCTTCCTAGTTCTACAACAACGATGGCGACAACGAAAGCCCCTACATCTTCCGTTGCTGACTCTTCGACGCGGAATAATGTTAACGAACATTTAGAATTGGATAAAGATGGCTTCGCAGGCTCGAGCTCGAATAGTAATAGCAGTAGCGGCGTTGTGCGTGTCGATTATTCACAATATTTAAAGGACTCTAATTTGGCATTCGATCGCAGTGATGCATGTGAGTATACAAATTTAACTCATATATGAATTCTATGAGGCCTTTGGATTTGCCCATTGATATAAGGGAAAATGTAAAGGTTGAGTTCGTTGCTTAGTATGAGTTTGCAATTTAAAGGTCACGGCTCAGCGGGCCATGGAGTTCGAGGTTTTGTTGTTCTTGTAACAGCTTACAAGTAGAAGTTTTTTAGCTTCGTTAAATGTGTCCTATTAGTTTCTAGCGGCTATATTTGTGCATCAAAATTCAGAATCGGACAGCTATTTTCCCGAGAAATGTTCTGGCGCTTTTTCGTTCAGCTCTAAAAAAAAAAATAGTTTACTAATCTGGAGAAAGAGTACAGCTATGTATATCCCTTGAAATACGTTCCCACGACAGTCGGGAATTATATCTGGCCAAGGACTTTTATTTGGGGAATTTGTATGCCTTTAAAAAAACAACAACAGGTCTCTTCAAATACCCAGAGAGTGTTCGAAAGCCTTGTTGTTTTTGTTGTTATTGTAGCGGCCAACAACCCCGACCAGATTGGTTAGTCCCTCAATCGTTGTCGTCAAGCTCTACTAACGGGGGACCCAAGAAGAGTGCAGCTTCGAAAGGGTCTGTTCATAAGCACAGAGGCGTTTGTAGAGTGGGGTTAAGTAGGCATGCGAAGATATGTCTCGAGTCATGGGGAGTCTCTCCGCATGCCGGGCCCTGGTTTGGCACATCTGCGTTTACGCTCAGTTACGAGTTTAACCTGCTGCAGTAGCCAGAGCGAAGTTGGGCTATTGTGGTCCGAGTCTCCCGAGGCAGACGAACCTCTGTCTGTGCTTTGTATAGTGCGAGAGTAGAAGGGCCTCTTGAGTCTTTGCTGCCGGGAAAAGGAGAGTAATCGGATGATAGGACTTTCCTTTGTTGGACGGTTTCCCCTGTTTATGCAGTGGGACCGCTCCACCCATTTTCCAGATGCTTGGAATGATGAGAGTGGTCATAGCCAGGTTGAGGGCCTTGGTTAAATAGTCTTCTCTCGCAGGACCCAAATTTTTCAGCATCGGCGTGCAAGTTCCGTAGGGTCCAATGGCTTTGGAGGCTTTCGCCTTCCCAATGGCTAGCCTCACTCCGCTGCTGGTGAAAACAAGAGGCGCGCTATGTGTTGGCAGTTTGTGCAGCCTTCTGGTCAGTCGACGCTTGGTTTTGTCCGCCGGAGGATGCAGTGTGAACTGTCGGCTAAAATAGTTCACGCCTCGCTCCGGATCCGACGAGGCATGGTCGCCGAAAGAGATTTCGACTCTGTCGTCACGCTTCGTCGGATTGGAGAGTGACCTCACGGTTGACCAAAGCTTGGTCAGACCAGAGGCGAATTTACAGGTCTTCAGATGCTCTTTCAACTTCTTCCGCTTATGTACGTTCATAGTTGCCGAATTTCCGCGTTGAAATCCCTGATACGGAGATTTCTGGGATCGGCCTGGTGAAGGTTGTCACGCTCATCGGCTAAGACAGCCGCTTCGACAGGAAATTTCGGAGGGGGGGGGGTCCGAAATGCATGCATGTATTTATACCAAAAGATCTTTCAGATCTGCCGCAACTTCTTTTTCCGCTTTTTTTAAACTATGTCGAAGTGATGTGATTAGAGGATCGGAAGATGTCAACAACATTTTCATTAAATCAGCATTTTGGTCAAACGAATGTACATATACTCGGAAGTTATTAGTTCGCACCATGGATACAAAAAAGAAGGTTGTTCCATTTTTTGACATTCTTTGTTGTTGTTAACCATTTGAATTTTAATAAAATTATGACATTTCATCAAATTCATGCTACCTGATCACTAGAAGAAATATTTTTCTTTAAAGCAAAAGATATTAGGTTCGTTCGCGTAGCTGTTAATTGTTCATGTTTAACCAAAACTTACAAGTTTTTGCGTTCGCGTACGCAAAAAACTTGCAAAGTAGGGGAAATTGAGAGAGCAAAGTGACATTTCATTTTGAGGGGAAGCTGCTGGTTTCTGCTGGAAAAATTTTTGCCAACAGCAATTTGCCAACAGGAAAACAGCTGATCAAAAACAGCTGGTTGGCATTTACGCAAATCACAAAATTGAATTTGATGATTTGGAAGTTAAAAATTACAAAATTACTAATTAAACTTGTAAGAAGTAAGTAGTTATTTGTTTAATCAATAAACTGTGCCAGGATACCACTTTGTAATGAGTTTTCGTACGTTTTAAATTTTACACTTTTGAATGTAAACAAAAATTATATCAGCTGTTCGTCTAATTTGCAAGTTCCTGCAAATTTTCTGTTCGCGTACTATTTTGGATATTTCTCTCTTGTGAGCGAACAGATGACATTTCGCCGGAATTTGGCAGTTGGTTGGTTTCTGTTGGAGATTTTAAACGAACGCACCTTTTATCAGTACATTCAAAGATGTGGAATATGATTGATGTGACCAACCGTACTTCTTTTTTCGCTCTTGTACTTCGTACTTCGAAGTAAAGTCAAATGTACTTCTTTGCGATATTTTGTATTTCAGGAGGGAGATTTTGTATCGAATCGCTATCCGAAAATTGTCGCTACGTGGTTTCAGAATCTCCCCCCAGGTCCTGTATTTCTCCGACCTTCTGGACGATCGTCACTTGACCTGGGCGATAAATTCGTTCAAACCATTAAAGTCGCCGGCGACCAATGGCATCATATATGCGCAGCTGCAAAGGTCTCTGAATATGTCGTGCTACTGGTTGGATCCTATTTATGCAAACTGCGTGAGGACCGAGTACATCCCCAAGGCTTGGAGGGTAGTCAGTGTTGCGTTCATCCCGAAGGCCGGAAAAGGCGCACATCTTCGTGACAGAACTGTCGCGGCGGGTGGGGGAGCGCCTACACTCAGTGCAGAGTCATTATAAGCACTCCACAAGGTGGTGTTCTCTCCAAACTGCTCTGGATTGCGATTGTAAACGACCTTCTAGAGAAACTGATAAAAGTGGGCTTTCGGATGATCGCCTATGTAGATGATATGAAACATTTGGTTAAGGGACGATTTCTAGATTTCTTTAGGATCTGGCTCAAGGCTACCTGAACCAGGTAACTAGGTGGGCGATCAACGGCGGCTGTCGTGGAAGCCTAACAGAGAGGAAAGGGTAAGAAAGGTGTCGGTTGCTTTATATTGCTGTAGGGAAGCTATCGGTAAAAGGTGACGTCTCTCGCCCAAATTAATTTATTAGCTCTAGGAAACCAGATTTAAGCCTATCTTCTCTCATGGAGCCCTTGTCTGGTGGAACTCACTAGAGAAGGCTACACTTGTAAAATAAGAATTAGTGGAGCAAATGGAACCACACATACACTGGCGCTTAACATACATATGTTGAACAAGGCGCCTGCGGATATTGCAGACAGAATTGTCACACTACGAACCGCTATTCGGCTAAGGGAAACCGGGTCCTTTTGTGACAAAAAAAGGAAAAGAAGACGTTTCTCTGCCGCAGCAAATATTTTTGNATTTGGTTAAGGGACGATTTTTAGATTTCTTTAGGATCTGGCTCAAGGCTACCTGAACCAGGTAACTAGGTGGGCGATCAACGGCGGCTGTCGTGGAAGCCTAACAGAGAGGAAAGGGTAAGAAAGGTGTCGGTTGCTTTATATTGCTGTAGGGAAGCTATCGGTAAAAGGTGACGTCTCTCGCCCAAATTAATTTATTAGCTCTAGGAAACCAGATTTAAGCCTATCTTCTCTCATGGAGCCCTTGTCTGGTGGAACTCACTAGAGAAGGCTACACTTGTAAAATAAGAATTAGTGGAGCAAATGGAACCACACATACACTGGCGCTTAACATACATATGTTGAACAAGGCGCCTGCGGATATTGCAGACAGAATTGTCACACTACGAACCGCTATTCGGCTAAGGGAAACCGGGTCCTTTTGTGACAAAAAAAGGAAAAGAAGACGTTTCTCTGCCGCAGCAAATATTTTTGTATGGAACTTTAAAGCACGTTACCTCACAAGGGCTAGCGGTTGGGGTTCTGACAGGCCATTGTGCGATTGGTATTCATGCCGTGAGACTAGGAATTTCATCTGATCCTTTCTTATCGGCTGTCAGGATGAAGATGAAGTGGAATCATCTGCACACTTTCTTTTAGACTGTCCAACTTTCGCGAGGCTAAGATGGAAGCATTTTGGCTCGGACTTCCAAACAACCACTGAGCTCTCAGGGATCGAAATTTCGTAATCGGCTCGCGGCGTTAACTTAACCCAATCTAAGCTGTACTTCTTTGAGCTATGAAATAGTTGGTCACATTAAATATGATGGACTTGAAAATTATGCCGGCTACATAATTTCGAAAATGGGGTTGATGGCAAGGTTTCGGATGGCATGAAGAAAGTAATCCAAATTATACTTACATATCGTCGTTTAAAGTACAAAACCGCGTATCGTCGTTCTGCAAAACCGCCATCCATTCCAAAAAAACATCCATTCGTCCTGAAATATAATAGCCAGAAATGCGATTGCTTTATAAAAAAGAGAACAATTTTGAAATACGAGTATTTTTACTCTCTAGAAAATAATTTATGCAACCTCACATACGCAGTTCTGCATTTTGTTGATACGCGGTTTTGTACTTTATACGACGATATGTTAATTGTTTATCGGTGGACGGTCTGTTTAAGCCGACCTCAGGTTTCATGCACACATTAGACACTTTAAGATCAATATTTGTGAAAGCTAATTAAATAGTTATTATTATTATTATTATTATTATGCGCGCGTGGTTTCTATTATAAAATAAAAAGAACAATTACGATGAAGTCTTCTTTAATAGTCTATATNTTTTTCTTAACAGCGGTCGTCCCTCGGCAGGCAATGGCAAACCTCCGAGTGTATTTCTGCCATGAAAAACAGCTTCTCATAAAAATACAATCGCCGTTCGGAGTCGGCGTAAAACTGTAGGTCCCTCCGCTTTGTGTGACAACATCAAGGCGCACGCCACAAATCGGAGGAGAAGCTCGGCCAAACGCCAACATATGAGTAAGCGCCAATCTATTATATTATTAATGAAAATAGTGCGAACCACGTATGTAAGTAAAAATAATTACCAAGCACTGATAATGATTTTTGATTTAAAATATTATTAAATTGGTATAAATGTGGGAAAGAAAATACTCCGATTTATTGTTTTAATATTATCAAAGTGGCAAGGCCGTTTATGAAACTTCCAAAAATTTTATTATCCGTCAAAAGTTGTTTATTTAACAAGGTAGAAGTGACAACTAGCTCGAACTCTCTTGTAGCTAGTTATAATGTCAAAAAACTGTAAACAAACAAGTTAACCCTATGAGGTGCGCGTGCTATGTTTGCTACAAATTAGCATCAATTGAACCTCATCATGGTGAAATTATAACAGGTGTAGTAAAAAGAGCGAGATGTAAAATTTTACCCTATCTTATTTGAAAATTTGCCTTTAAAAATTTGTATAAGATAGCCGCATGTCAGGAAAATAAAGCGAGAAAGCTTTTTTATAACCTCACCTGCTTATAATTTCACCATGGAAATGCATCAGCATAAATACAAATATATGTATGTACGTGTACTATTTTTAAGGATTACTTCAATATTACCTTGAAAGAATTTTAGCTGCATTCGCATCTTATATGCACATATACATATAATAATACCTCATAAAGGAAACCACGTCATTAAATGAAATATATGTTTTATGAAACTGTTTTAAACATTTTTTTTGTTTCTATTCGCCCAATGTTTTTGCGCGTTTAGTTAAATATTTACTTCTAAAAAACATCCCCACTTATAAAAATCGTTTTAATGTTTTCTTCTACATACGTCTACATACATCAGTGTAAATCTAGGTCCTAACGCGGTTATGTGTCATAATATTGTAAGAAAATTCTCTTACTCAGTTCTGAAATTCCGTGGCTTCAGGCAACCAAGTCTTCTAACTTCGCAACTAGGCGCCTTAAAGTATTGCACCACTTTCCACACAATGCAACGCTCGTAGTTCCTGCTCCTTTTCATTTTTGTATATGTATGTATCTATAAATACATGTGGTCGAAAAACAAAAGAAAAATCACACAATTCAAAACTATCTCAAAGCACAATTTAACTTTTAATGAAAATTAGAAAATGCCAACTTGAAAAGGGTTAAAAGTTATTCATCATTTGACATTAGGTGCGTTCGTTTAAAATCTCCACCAGAAACCAACCAACTGCCAAATTCCGGCGAAATGTCATCTGTTCGCTCACAAGAGAGAAATATCCAAAATAGTACGCGAACAGAAAATTTGCAGAAACTTGCAAGTTAGACGAACAGCTGATATAATTTTTGTTTACATACAAAAGTGTAAAATTTAAAACGTACGAAAAGTCATCGCAAAGTGTTATACTGACACAGTTTATTGATTAAACAAATAACTACTTATTTCTTACAAGTTTAATTTGTCGCATTTTGTAATTTTTATCTTCCAAACCATCAAATTAAATTTTGTTTTTTTTGCGTAAATGCCAACCAGCTGTTTTTGATCAGCTGTTTCCCTGTTGGCAAATTGCTGTTGGCAAAAATTTTTCCAACAGAAACTAACAGCTTCCCCTCAAAATGAAATGTCACTTTGCTCTCTCAATTTCCCCTACTTTGCAAGTTTTTTGCGTACGCGAACGCAAAAACCTGTAAGTTTTGGTTAAACATGAACAATTAACAGCTACGCGAACGAACCTTTTATGATTCAATTCTCACAGCTACCTTTTTCAGTCTTTTAACGCAAAGTGAAACCAATTGTTTTTTTTTTTTTGTTTAAAATTATAAGATTTTTGACTACTACTTTTCTTTTGATTTTTTTAAGGGTCATTATTTTTATATAAAAGTATACATAGCTCTTTATCTAACACAAACAATATAAACAGTTTTACGTCGACTCTGAGCGGCGACCGCTATTAAAAAAATATATATAAACGATGCCAATAAATACATATCCATAAGCATCGACGAGTTCGATTACTACATACATACATACATACATACATACATAAATATGTATTTATATATAACAATAAAAAGTATAAAAAAACGAATATATGTAAATATGCCATGAAAAAATTTGGAAAAAAATTTTTAGGCGTTTCGTTAAACAATGAACTTTTTCTCTTAAGTGTTAAACACACTCTCGTTAGTTTTTTCCACGAGTCACCTTTACTTAAGGTCAATCTTTTTTTCTTTCAGTTGATGATGAACGTGATGAAGAACAGCTAGTAATAGATGTTGGTCACTTGGAGCATGAAGAGAATCCGCGCCTGGCAATCACGAGTACTGAAAGCGTGACCGTAAACGACGAGGTATGTACAATATTTATATTCAAATATTTCTACAGTTAATATATTTTACCGTTAAATGTAATTCAATACCAAAAATAACTTATATTTTAAACAATACATCTAAAAAATATCGCATGAAATCGTTCTCTTTCTTTCAGCCAACGCCGAAAACTAGTGATTTGGCTTCCAGACTAGGGCTTCATTTAAATCCCTTCAATCCCTTTAGAACAAATGCAAGTGATTTCAAAAAGACCGAAGAGAAGACAACTACCAACAGTATCGATAGTTATCAACGCAATGATCGTTTATATGCGCCCCCAGCCCGACGACGAGGTCGTTCTCGTTCCCGTTCACGCTCTCGTTCGCGCTCCCGTTCACGTTCGCACACGCCAACCCACTCACAATCCACCACACCAGAAGCTTCAGACTCTGCGGACAATGAAGACGCGCCTGTTATTAAAAAACAGCCTGTTTACGAGCGCAAAACGATGTACGACTTAAATGTTGCACAGGCGGAAGAGGATGAACGCAAGCAATCAGAGAGGAGTGCCAAAGCCGATAAGGATATGCGTTGTCTGAGCGGTAGCGGCAGCATATTGCCCTTCGAGGCCGTGACAAATTACACGCCCGCCACTGAAATTGACGCTTCCTACACTTCTCATCTGCCAATGACATATAAGGTGCGCGAATTCTCTCTGCCACCGGCGAACTATGCAGACCTGCGTCGTAGCTTGCGTGCCACTACACAAACAGCAGATCCGCGCGTACGACGCATACTCGGATTGCCGGAGACACGTGCCACTACGGTTGCTCTGAAGCGTTCGGGACGCAAGCTGAGCAGTACCATCGCCTCGCCAGAGGCTGAAGAATCACCAAAATACTATACACCACCCAGTAGCAGCACCAGCAGCAGCGGTGTAGCAGCCAAGGAGCGTCGTTCTAGTATTACCAAGCCTACGACATCACGTTCGGATCCACGTTTAGATCCGCGCTGCGCAGCAGCCTCAGCGGCAACGGCCGCCGCTGCAAAAGCGAACGAAGCAGAGAAAAGTGGTGCGGCTGCAGCGGCAAATAGTGGCGGTAGCGCTGCTAATGACAGCGTTGTTTCGAGGATTGCAGGCTTAGGTAAGACAATGCGAGAAAAAATGCAGAATTCCGCATGGTATCGCGATCTAAATTCCAATATGAAAATCCAATACAATCAGGAACTGGCTCGGCTAATCACCGAGCTGCGGCGTTTCCACCAAGACACCTCGCCAGATAAGAATTTCAATTTCATCAATTGTAATAAAAAAATAATCGATGATATACTCATTAATCTTGGCATTTTCATTGATGAAAATGGCGAGGTGAATAAAATCGATTCTGATAAAGCGGATGATACCGAAATGAATGCGAATGCCGAACGGCGTGGCGATTTCATGCAGCAACTGGATTTCCCTAACCCAAAATTCGATCTACCCAATTCGGGCTTCGGTTTCCCGAACCCGCCATTCGATTTCCGTTTTCCACCACCATTATTCGCCGGTGGTCTAGCAGGGATCCGTACGCCAATTCCCGCTGCCGCCACGAACTTGACACCGCGTTTAGATGGACCCAGTTTGCTTGGCATGCCACCGATCGGTAACTTCAATCCCTTCAATGTCGGTGCGGGTGGTGCTAACTTTCAAGCCGGTGGGCGAGGGCTGCTTGATGCCGGACCGCAGATGGGCTTCAATGGTTTCTTAAACTTCCCACAGCAGAACATGGGTGGCGGTGGGGGCCCGCGAAATTTCAATATGGATGGCGGCGGGCATAACAGACGTAATCCAAATAATCGTAGACACTTTATTTAACAGCTGAGCGTGAAGGCTTAAAGTGAAGCTACGGCAGAAAAATCCCTACAAGAGGTTGAACATACAGAAATGAAGGAAGATATCAAAAGAAGACTTAACTTATAAATTTAAAAAATTTATTTCTAGTGTGAATATATAGATTTTAACGTTAAGTACGAAGGTATCCAACATTAAGTAGGTACATAAGAGTCGTGAGTGGTGCATGAGTGTTTAATGGCACGTCGTACAGTGGGACTCAATGTGCGCGAATGTGTTGGCAAAATGATATATAAGCATTTTTTAAAAAGCTTCAAATTATTTTTTAACTTAAACGGTATGCAAATGAAATTGTAAAAATCAGTGTTTATAAATATGAACTAAAAACATTGGTGTATAATTTTTCTTTCAATTATTCTTAAAACAAAATAAACTCAAATACGTGCACAAATCTATGTACATATGTATATAGATGCGTATGCAAATAACGTGTGAAAATTGTTTTTTGTTTTTGTTGTTTTTTTTTGTTACGTTGAGAACAACGTTTGGCTAAACGAGAGCATAGTTACGAAATGTTCCACACTGAAGATTTGTGTTACTTGATCCCCAGTTGTTTGTGTACAGTGGTCAAATTAACGTATTCACGTTCGAATGAAATTTGATTCGACCTCGGCATCCGAAAACTATTTTTAAGCAATTAAAAGTAATACGACATTAAAGTACCGTTACTATATTTTTTCAGTGAAAATTGCATTGATTTCGATCGCCTTCCACGAAGATTCGGCCTTAGTCTCCTTACCTAGGCGATTTCCTTAAATTTTATTCAGTTAGAATCTTCTCGAGATTCAAGGTTTTCGAAGTCTTTTCATGTTTAAGGAGATACAAATTACATTTTCTATGTAATCTTTGGACCACGCGTAGTTCAAAATGATACTGGATATATTTACTTCGCTTTAAAGAGTGAAAATGCTTTTCCTAAGAATTTAACTCGAGAAAAGTTCTTTGCACAGGTATTATATATATAAATATCTATAATTAAAAAAAACTGAGATCACATTAAAAAATTAATATTAAGTAATACAAAAATTAAAATGAAGTAAAGAAAAATTAAATAAATTAAAGTTAAACAAAGGAAAATAAAATGAATTAAAAATGAAAACAGTAAAATTAAATAAATTATAAATTAAAAAATAAATAACATAAAAATTTAATTAAATAAATTCAAGTAAAATAAAATAAAATATAATAAAAAATAGAGAATAAAAAGAGAATATTAAATAAAATGAAATAAAAGAAAAAGATTTAAATAAAATCAGGGATGGGCACTAGCCGTAAAATAGCAAGTTTTTTGTTTTTAGCGATCGTATTTTTAATTTTATTTTTCTAATTTTTTGGATCAACATAACCATTAAATTTGGATTTTTTTCAATAACAACACGGGGTAACAAAAAGAAATTTCTGCATATTGAAGCAAACCTCTATATCCCTATGTTATTCGACGCGCTGAATGCGAATCCGAGGTCTGTTAGCTTCCATCACGTCAGGTTCGAGGTCATTTGAAGGTCAAGTAGGGAAAAATTCATTGAATAAACCTGAAAGTTCAATACAATTCTTCTGAATTTGACCTTGGGATAACCTTGGCACGACTTCTAGATGACCTTAAAGAATCAAAATACCCCCATATTCGGATATAACGACATCAAAGTCAAAAAAAAATTAAATTGTTTGTACTATTTGACCCCCAAATGACCTCGAACCTGACAATATGGAGGTTAACGGACCTCGGACTCAGGTTCAGCGAGTCTAAAACCCCATACATATGTAGATTTATTCAATGAATTTTTCCCTACTTGGCCTTCAAATAACCTCGAACCTGACGTGACGTGGGCTAACAGACCTCGGATTCGCATTCATCGCGTCGAATAACATAGGGATATAAAGGTTTTGTTCAATATGCAGAACCTTTTTTTTGTAAACCTGTAATCGTTATTTTTTTCGGCCATTATTAACCGGTATAATGGAGACTCTTTTATGACCGATTTAAATCTTTTATCATCTAAAAAGTAAATCTGAAGATAATGGTGATAAAACAAACAATAAATATATGTGAAAACTTACAATCAAAAATTGATTGATAAAATAAAAATCCAAAAATAACAATTATTCTTGATCTAAAAAAAAATAATAAAAATCACAAAAACAAAGGTTAAGTTTTATCAGGAAAATAGAAATTAGATTTTAAATTATGATTTTTATTATATTATACTATTTATCCCCTCAATAAAATAAAGTAGAAGAAAATAAAATAAAGTAAAAAATTAACTAAAATATTAAATATGTGAGTATAAACAAGGAAAAAATTAATATAAAACATAATTAAGTTAAACAAAACACAAAATTAAACGAATTAATATAAAATTTAATAAAACAGAGTAAAAAATATAAAGGTTAATTAAAAGAAGATGCAACAAATGATAAAATTAAACCAGAGAAATATAAAATTTTAATTTAAAACTAAGAGTTAGGAATGTGAAACTAAAAAAGCAAAATGTAAAAAACAAGTCGAAAATTTTTACATACCTTATTTAAAAAATCTTAAAATATTTTTAACTTTTGAATTTAATATTTTATTTGCAAAAAGTTTATTCGCGTTCATTGAAGAGATTTTGTTTTAACAATTCCCTAAAAAATAATATAGGTGTTATAACCAGATAACTTCATAACCAAGTACACACCCGCGAAAGAAAGATAATATGTGTACAAAATAATGTAGATTTTTGCATGGTTATCAGGTTAACTGGTTATATTTTTATCCAGTTTCCAACAATCATAAACTGTGAGAAGTAATAATCAGAAAACTAGATAATCTAATAAACATACAAATGTGAATACAATCTGAAAATATTAATTTTTGATATCAAAATAATATGGATGCTCACATCCGCCATGTTGTGTTTTGTATTAAATTTACCATAATAATGTACATTGCAGTATTATATTTTTTAAGCAGGTTACCTAATAACCAGAATGATATAAATACCTGGACATATGTATTAACTTAATTTAAATAGAGGAAAAAAATATTTATTTTAAACAAAATCAAGTAACAAAATATTGGAAAAAAATTAGATTCTGTAACCTTTTTACATTATGCATATTCATTACTTCTGGTTTAAGGATATTTGGCTGGTTGGGTGAATGAAAAAAAACACCTACATTATTTAATAAATACATAAAAAGTCGAGAAGCATATTATCTGATTAGAACAATTGGCCTTTTCGGGAATGCCATATGAACAAATACTCCTTAAAATTATAAATTAAAATAAAACAATTTTTTTGTTTTGCTTGTAAATTCTTGTGAACAACTTATTCACATGAAATTATGGAGCTGATTGTTTTTAATTTTTTTTGCGCCAATAATTAGCTCTCAATATATGTGTTTGAAACAAAATCGAGCCTCTCTCAAGCTCCCCCCTCATCGGCACAAATTTCACAGAACAAAAAATTAATCAACTACTAGCCCTTAAATAAATATGCGCTTAAATACATTTTGTCAACACATACACAATTTTTGCCCTGTCTTGCGTCACTGTGCGCAGGCACCGCTTGTGCGTACACGAGTGCGAACAACCAGTAGAAAGTAAGCGGCACCCATAAAATAAATATTGCTAGCTTTTGCAAATACTATTAATCAATCCAGTGGTTTTGTGGTGACGAACGTAATATTTTTGGTATTTTTAGGAGTTTTGATTTGATGAAGTCAATTTCGGTTGCATACTTTTGTGCGTCATGTGGGAAAGCGTAGTGAAATAATGGAAAATAGTCTATAAAAAATATCAGTGACGTCGTATTTTTTAATTTGAAATGCATACATACTTATGACCACTTACGAGATTTTATAAAGTAAGCACATGTGTACTTATGTAGTTTTGGTTTAATTGCATTTCACATGTACATAATTACATACACACAAAACTTTTGCAACTAATTTAAGAAATTCTAATTTTATAAAGCACCGTAAGTTATTATTAAGTACTATTTATTAAGTTTGCTTTGATTGGGGAAAAAAGTATTTTGTTAGAAAGTAGGATCATCTGGTCTTACCGAAAGTAATGTTACCAGTGTTAAGCAATTACAGTACACACACACACACTAGCTATAAAGCTGTTGATTTTAATTTGGCGGAGTCATAACCTACATACATACATACATACATATGTACATATTTACATACATACATTTTGCATATGTAAATATAATAATCATATTCATTTAAATATTAAATAGTATATACATAGTTAGATGGTATCAATATTGAATCTGTGAAAATTTTGTGTAAAATATGTAGATAATACATATTCTAAATCAATAAATATGTACATACAATTAAATAAAATTTGAAATATGAACCGGTGATTTTTTTTTTAATTTTAATAGGATATTTACAAACAAAATTGGATTGCCGGAACAAAGTATTGGCACAAAAATATGGTTCGTTCTTTTTATCAGATTTTAATCAGATTTTTCATATTTTTTTTTTGAGTATGCTAATTTGTAGCCCAATAAATTTTATTATAACAAAGTACAAATTTTAAGTAGCTAGGAATTAACGCTGAATTTTAGCAATTTTTTTTCACGCAGTCTCTTCTATACAAACAATTTTTTTCGAAAATACTTTATATGGAAAAAATGCAAAACACCTTCTACAAAAAAAATCTCAAACTTCAATGCGATTTTTGACTAACTCCGAACCTGCATTTGTTTTTACTAGAATTTAAAGGGCTGCAAAACTGCATACTCGAACAATTCTAAAAAATCTGATTAAAAGATGAAAATTTGCAAATTTTGCAAATAAAAATGCCGCCTACAGGACCCCGCTGCGATCGGGCGCAAAGCGAGCCATGTGGGACCGCTATAGAGAACTGAAGACTGAAGCGAGACGTATATATTTGCCGCAATAAGAGAGGCCGTAATACGTGAGGTCGAAAAGCTTGAATGAAACCGCCCTAAAATTTTATCAGAGAGTTAGGCGACTTACGGAAAGTTTCAAGACCAGGGCGAACTCTTTTAAGAACAACCATGACGACCTAGTGACTGCTGTCCAAAACGTACTTAAATTATATTCAAATACACCAAATCTTTGGAAAGACTCGCGAAAATCACACACATCATCTATTTGTTGATTTCAACGCAAATAAGTTGTCTTTGATGGGCTATATGGGCTTTACAACGATTTAGACATTGTGCAGCTACGCTGGCTAGGTTGTTGTTGTTGCTGTTGCAGTGGCTACAACAACCCCGCCCAGATCGTTTGATATCTCAGTCGTTGTCGTCAAGTTCCACTAACGGCAGCCCTAAGAAGCGTGCAGCCTCAATAGGGTCCGTCCACAGGAACAAAGGCGTTAGGGTTCTCGGGGTGAGGGGTCTCTCCACATGCCGGACACTCATTTGGCACATCCGCGTTTAGTCTGCTCAGGTATGAGTTT